CGCGTGCCAGACGGCGGCCTAGATCGCCCAAGAGGTTACATATGGTAGAATACTTAGTCTTCTAGCTGGTATAGTGGGGGTCCATGATCTCCCAAGTATCACAAGTCCTATGGTTCGCGGCAGCGAAAGCTAATGAACAAAGTGAGGCACCATCGCACCAAACTCGGAAATTCTCTCTTCTCCTCCTTTCAAAAGATCACCACGCTAGAGGTGTTAAAGGGATTGAGATCGGGTGTATCCTCTTTTGGGGCTTGCTGCAGGGGGTAAAAATACTCGCATGGACTACAGCGGCTCAGGAACGGACTTTGAGCTGATGCCATTGAAGACATGCGAAAGGTTGACGTGTCTATGCGGCTTTGTGTATATGTCCAAGAAGCTACGTGGCATAGAAACTTTGCCAGCGGGAGCGTCGGCGAAGGTACTCTTTTTCAGGCTCACACCTTGAGCATATTAGAGGTACATCATTCCGCAGAGGGATCTGCGATTGGATGACGGTACGCAGCAGACAAATTGCCAATTGCCTGATCAAGAAGGCGGAATGTCCAGCTTTCGGATGCATATAACCTGTAGCAACGAACCCAATCGTTGGGTCCTGTAGGGTTTAGACTTCGGAGAGGAAAAGAAAAAAGAGCAAATCGGCCACTGTACTCGCTTAGTAACGGCAGAAAACCATCATCGGTGCTCAAAAAGACCATGTAAGAAGCAACATTGTGCTTGTCGAGAGCGATTTACTTGGTGCAGTAATCAATGTGCACTCAGAAGGGTTCTTATACTATAACTGTGAAGGTGGGAGTTGATCTCCGGATAATCGAGCCACACGCCAGGAAGAGTTGAGCTGGTGTAGGCAACCGAATTCCAACAGGCTAGTTCCGAACTGATCTCGCATGTCGTTGCTAATCAGATATGGTCGACAGTCGAAGCACTATACTCTGAATAATTCTATGCTGATCTTTTGGTCCTACACTCATCAGTCGAAGGCAATTCTGGATCTAGAAGCATAGCTTAGACCAGGGGTACCAATAGTGTTCGTTCTCGTCGACTCGAGCGCGAACATGGGGGATAGATCGTACTACAGAAGCAGCCTGTCAATTTGTCGGTCGCCAAACTCGGACGTCACTTATACAGTGCGGATGGAACTGTAGCAGGTAAACTTGTGGGTACGTAGAATGACAAATTCTTTGGATATGTACCGTCGGCCCTGTAAGCATACCTAAGCACTATGATGTTATGGGTCCACTTAGGTAGCCTTCCCAACTATCGGGACACAATTGACTTACAGACTCCATGGAAAGCACTGTAAACTGCTGTTGGACAGATCGTCAGTACTTACTGGCTTCCGAGTGATAGTCAGATAAGATGCCAAAGGCCCCTAAGGGCGCCCATTGTATATGTTGTGAGCTGCGGTGACACTTCCAAGGTTCTGACAACTACATGTGCAGACTGTCAAACCGTAAACAAATCCCAGATAGGATTTATTGTGTGTAGAGACGGATCGAGACAAGGGAACTATCCGGGAGCTGTTTCGTAGGACTAGAACAAGCTTGTGCTTAGGTAGCGCTATATGTTTACGTCATAGGAAGTTGCGTCTGTTGGGTACCCTAGGTGCGTAAGGTGATGGCACGCTGACTCTTCGCCCCCACCACTGGCATTACTATACCTTACATGTGCCGCTGTCCAGTATGATGTTGGTTGGCACTTGCACTCTTGCATCCCTCGCACGAGACGGCATGCCCTGAGAAGCCCGGTTCTGCGCTCCACTAGGAATGAGTGCACCGAGCTATTCAGGGGATTCAGAGTAATCATCTTATGCGCATCCCTTCCCCATGCTTTCTGTCATCCTCCACGAGCCCCTTCCACCCGTGCCTCTTCGCGAGCCGTTTCCGATGTATACGCGATGCAGTTGGAGTCGTTAATTCAAGGTACAGGGGATGATATTCGGGCCTTTTGCGGAGCATTTCTCAGGCGAGCTTCGACTAACGCAGGTTCACCAGCGACCTGCACTACCCGTATCCCCTACCGACGACGAGCTCATCAGCCGTCGCGGCTAGCAGCCTCACGGCACGCTGGGCACGGTTATACAGCAGCGACAAGGTAGACAATGGCGATCTTTCCGGATAATGTTCTCTTGGTATTGCGATAAAAAGCATCGTAGGATCACTGTTTGATGAAGTCCGCACGGCACGTTGTATCAGAATGCCAATATCCCTACATTTCAACAGGGCCACTCCATGGACACAAAGCACGCGAAGCATTGTCTCGAATCCTCTCATCCTTCAGGGTCCAGCTATAACAGCCGCTCTGAAGCCAGGCACGCAGTGGCACCGAGGACTTGGTCCAGCCGTGCCAGCTTCACCGGTGTCATCTTTAGGCGACCCGCGCCATATCTATCTAACCTCGAGACGGGAACGCCCTTCGGGTGTGGTTCGCTGTTCCTTCCAGCAGGATCCTAATATCCGCCCCAGGAGCTATGCTAGAAGGCGAAGAAAATTCGTCCTGCGTGGGTCTTTCTGGCGGCTTGTGCACAAGACAAGTGTCGAATTATTCGTTGGTCTGGGGTGGGTACTAGGGATTCCCGGGAGATCACCGATAACAGGTTGATATGCGTCCAATTCTTTCCCTTCTTGAAACCAGTTCGGCTTGTTCCCTCCGGTTAAGGCTGCTTCACAACTGATCGCAATGTCCTGAAGCACATACGTCTTTGCATTGCATCCTGATGTGTTTCCACAAGCTTCCTCCCTAGTCGTTCCTTTCTTGCGTGAATCATTTTGTATATCTCATCCCTTCATCCCCCACATCGCGGCTGTCAGCGTTAGGGTATCACTATGACTTACTACGGCGACAATGCTCCAGAACTTGCTGCCTCGGTCATCGCGCTGACAGTAATCGCGTTCACTCTTTTCGGGTTGCGAGTCTATACGAGACTACACAACAATGCTTGGGGATTAGATGACTGGAGCATGACAGCTGCTACTGTAAGTAAACCTCTAGGTCATCCTTCCGGACAGCTCAGCTTATGGTGATATAGGTCCCCTTTACCGGCTTGACGATAGCATGCATAGGGGGTGCTTTCAGTGGAGTTGGAGTCCACGACTCCAGACTAAGTGATCAAGAGAAAGTTCAAGGAATGGAGGTATGTTGCTCTCTAGCGCTAGTATCTCTGCCTGCTAAGTCATGAAGTTCTTCTTCTTCTTCGAAGTCTTTTACTGTGCGGCTATCATCCCAATTAAGATGAGCATCACATTCATGCTCATCCGCATCGCATCACGAAGAGTTACCTACATCTACGCCCTATGGGTCGTTTCGGCCATGTTCATTGTCATGAACCTGATTGCGATGCTGTACATCATTTTTCAGTGCACTCCGGTGTCGTGGGCTTGGGATACTTCGACCCCTGGTGGGAAATGCAACCCAGCGCAAACACTGGCGGATATATACTACGCGACGACTGCGGTCAATATTGCGACGGATTGGTTCTGCGCGCTCCTGCCCATACCGCTGCTTTGGAATGTACAGTTGAACCGTAATGCTAAGCTTTCGGTCGGTGTCATTCTCGGCCTCGGTGCCTTGTAAGTCTCGCTTATGTCTTGGGAACGCGATCGCCGTCTAATGCGTTACAGAGCGAGTCTTTCAGCTTGCATCCGCCTGGTCTATACTGTAAATCTCACGAGCTCGACTGATTACCTCCGTAAGTGATCTCCCTTCTCCGGATCGCCCTTGCCGCAACCACCGGATAAACAACTAACATCCCCACCAGATGGTGTATCGAAGGTGATCCTGTGGGGTTACGCCGAGAATGGCGTCGGCATGATCGTAGGATGCGTTGCCACACTTCGCCCTCTCCTCCAGCGCGTACTCAAACTCGGAAGCAGCGGCGGCACCAATCCTCATCATACACCTGCAGCAGGCTACGCGAAACGCCCGATTATAAAGAGCCGTTTGAGTGGAAGGGATGAGGAGTGGGTAGCGCTCGAGGATAATCAGATGGTGAATATGGTGCATGGACAAGGCACTACTGGCAGTGAAGAATACATATTGCCTGTGAAAGGAGGGGGTATCCAAGTTACCAGAAGCGTGGAGCAACGATCTAGCGCTGTCAAAGACTAGGGCTGTAGCTCCAAACAAGCGCACCTGGGTGAACCCGAAGGGCAATCGCAAGGGATCCACGAAAAGAAAAACATGACCAAAGCTAATGAGTATATTTAATAATATCCCTCTGATGGGTAGAATTAGGATAAGATTCGCATTCCTTTGTGGCATGAGAACACATGCAAAAGTGCAACAACATGCATTGTGCGCGAATGACGAGACTTCGGCAATGCCAAACGCGTTGTCCGCCCCTGGCAGTCAAAGTAGTGGCCCTTACTGGAGCTGCGACCAAATGAAAATGGAATCGGATGACCACCAGAAATAACTAGTCGTAAGCGCAGTGGGTAACGACGCGGAATATCTAACGCGCTTGGCGTGTTACGGAAGAGCGGCCCCGGGTTTGTCTTCTCCCGAGCTTACGACTGTTTTTCCCGTCAGCCGCTGTGCGCTCAGGCGCTTAGGATCGGCAACCTTGACACAAGCTACACAAGCTGCACAACCAAGGGATAATTGTTCGTACGAGAGCGTGCCACGATTATACAGGAGGTCGCAGACGTCGTCGGATGCGTTACCCCAGCTGAAGTGTAGTCAGGGAGCTGTACCCAATCTAGACTCAATGTGTCTCGTGTAAGCCTCGGTGCATGTACCTGGAATCGAAGTAAGTGCATGAGTTGCATGGAGTAGAATGGTCAGATGAATGGGAACAGAGTCGCTTGGTCATTGGCTAAGCACTCATCGGCTGGCTGAGTCGTATCAATTCTGACCACTGCAGCATGCAGTCAGCATGTACACGATCTAAGTATACCCTACAATGCCTCTGATATCCGCGACAGTATAATGGTGGATATAAGAGTGACTTTGAGATTCCGTCCCATCCTCGTAGTTGACAAGCCCATAGTCAAAGCATAGCCAACATGACAGAATTCGAAAAGGCGTACGATAAAGCTATCGAAGACAAGATCCTTCCCGGATATGCTTTACTCGCGGGTGACAAAGATGGTGTGTAATCGTACGCGGTTCATATGAATAATATCTGATGATTGAGCAGGCAAGATCCTCTACTCGGGTGCAAAAGGTGTTCAGTCGCTCGTAGAGGGTTCGACACGCCCTTTCCAGCTTGATACAATATGCGCTATCGCGTCAATGACAAAGCTCATGACCGCCGTGGCAGCCTTGAAGTGCGTTGAAGAAGAACTTATCACGCTTGATGAAGATGTAGCCAAGCATCTGCCTAGTATTGGAAAGTACGGCATCATGACTGGTTTCGACGACCAGAAAAATGAGGCGGTCACTGTGCCTCATACGACGCCGATCACCCTGAGGTGAGTTCGCACTAGTCTATTAGCTGCTGCCTATCTGACCAAAACAGGATGCTACTGAGTCACACAAATGGCCATGAGTATGACTGGTTCAATCCTGATCTGATGAAGTGGCGTGCAAGTCGTGGAGAGACCCCTTGGTCTGGACCGACTGTAGAGGAAAAGTCCACTCTGCCGCTTCTATACGAGCCAGGCACTAGCTTCAGATATGGCGCAGGGGCAGATTGGGCGGGTAAACTCGTCGAAAAAGTGTCCGGGAAGACACTTGACGCCTTCATGAAAGAGAAGATATGGACGCCACTGGGCATACACGACACTACCTTCTACCCAAAAGCAAGACCCGACATGGAGGATCGGATGGCGACTATCAGCACACTAAACGAGCAGGGTGAGGGCCCGGTGGCAGATACTAATGGCTTTGACGTCCTGTTCGGTGCCACCGACTGCTTGGGGGGCGCTGGATGCTTTTCGAGCGCTGAAGCCTACTTTGCTTTCCTCCAGTCCGTTCTAAGGCACGACCCCAAGCTATTAGGTGAGGCTTCCTGGACGGAGCTCTTCAAGCCACAGCTCGATAAGAAGTGCAAACAAGAGTTCAACAACTACCTCAAGTGTTCACCGCTGCATACGCAGTATCTCGGCATGTGTCTGCCAACGGATATTGAGAAGCAATGGTCGTTCGCTGGGATGGTTGTTGAACAGGGCCAGCAAGGACGTATGAGCCCTGGAACCGTCTTCTGGGGAGGTGTACCGAGCATGACCTGGTATCTCGATTTCGAAGCTGGGGTCTGCGGCGTAGCATTCTGCCAAGTCATACCGCCGATGAGCCCGAGCATACTGAAGCTGCATGAGCTGTTCCAGAGAGCAATGTATGAGAAGGCAGCAGCCTAATGAGTCAGAGTATGTTGGACGAGGGGTCGAGTGGCACAGCACAGTAGAGGTCATTGTCGAGAAAGGAGGCCCGTGCACTTATCGATACGAAGGACGCCGCCTATGTCACTTCTCACCTGAGCGAGCTTCAACTACTTCTGTCCATAGTACGAAAATCCTGTTCTCGCAGAACAAGCTCCATCAGCGCTCGATGTACCATACTCAAAGGTCTCGAAGCTCACCGTATCTATGATTTTACATTTTGGATCTCGAATGGCAACGCATCGTTTAAACACGACGTCGTTTGGATTTGTCCAGTATCCCTCCAATGCTTCATTGCCAAACCAGCCACTGGGTTTCAATGCGTAGTGACATCACTGGTAAGTTGTGATTTCCAACAGAATGTAGCATGCTCGGGTGTGGGGTGATCCCCGCATTACAGGCTCGATAAAAATGCACACCAAGGCTGCCTTGCCAAGCGCCTGCTGCCTACAGAAGTGCAATTGCGTCTCTATATAGCCTGGCGATCTCTTCGGCTTTATATCCAAGGTCTCTCACGCTCAAGTCTGTGAGTACTGGCGTTCACCGTCGCTGTTTGCCCGATCCTAGTGCTCAGAACCGAAAAGTATCTTCAGACCCCTTTCTACAGCCAAACCACCGAGATATCGCCCATAGTATACGCTTGTGTCATTGGCCATGGCGACTGCATCGGGTAGTGTGTTTGGCGCGACGCTCCAGACGATCACAACCACCAAACTAGAAGAACTCGCGAAGCAGCGCACTGTCTTTGAAGAAGAGTATGCTGCACTCGTCGCTGCTGCAAAGGCTGAAACAGACCCGCTAAAGCGACTGTGTCTCCTCCTTGACGGCTCAAAAGCATGTCTTGGTTTCCAGACCGAAAAAAGGACCAAGAACGGCCGTACAGGACCAGTGATTAGTGGATCATCTAGAAACCTGCGCTTTGAGACTGACCTCAAGAACCTCGATCGCTTCATCGAACAGGCGCGGTTCGACCCTTCCATTTCATCTAACGTTCTTTCGGATTGGGAAGAAACACTCTTGAGATACCTCTCGATTCAGTCCACCAAGTTTCAGTATGCCGACCTCTACGGCAAACTCGTCACTGAATGGCTCTCTTCCGAGAGAAATGCAAGCGAAGATGGCGATATTGAGATGGGCGAGAGCTTTGAGGAAATACCTGGTGCTAAGAAGCTTGCATCCCGCGCTGAGTGGGAGAAAGACGTCTTCAACGCGGCCGAAGTAGACGAGCAAGCTCTGAGATCATACCTTGATGGGCTATTCAAGACAGATAGTAAAGATGGCTCCGCTGCAATTCTGAAGTTGCGCCAAAAGGTCGAAGACTTCGAGCTGAGTTTCAAGAGCTCGACATCCTTCAACAACAGTACCCTTCGCTCAACCATAAAAGGGCTCTTGAACTCCAATCTTCTCTCAAATGAGAAGCGAGAGGCGCTCAGAGACTTTCTGAGTAACGGTAAGTACGCATGGAATTTCTAGAGTGCTCATAGCTAACGATTCACAGACGTGATACTCGCGGAGTTATGTGACATCCTCAACGTGCGCATGACGACCCTTGATCGTTGGACCTGGGGGCCATATGTCCTGCTAGAGCAGAGAAGAAAGATTAACGGTGACTTCTCCATCCACTTCGATCCGGACCTTCTTCAGGCCATCTTTCTCCATCACATTGGTGTGAAGTGGTGAGTCGTCGTCCACTCAAATGATCAAGAATATTATCTCTAACTGCTCAACTTTTAGGTCCGTGTTCTTCAAATCGGCATTCTTGGACATGCACAAGCATGTTGCCTGGAAGAGAAACTTCACAGAAGTTTCAAAAGTCGACCGTCTGCGACGATCATTTTTTCTGGGCGACCAAGGCATTCGAGTTCACTCGACCGTGGAAAAGAAGCGCGAAAGCATACATCGCAATAGATATTTTGTCCACCAATTGCTAGATTATGAAACTCAGCAAATTGAGGCAGATGAAGGCGAAGAGGAGGCAGAGTACGGAGATTACGTTGTCCAAAAGCGTCAAAGGGCATCGGTACAGGGGATGCACTCGCACTCCATTGCGAGCCAGGAACTAGGCAGAGGTCGTACAAAGCAGACAGCAAGAATGTCTACCGGTTACAATGGGGTGCTAGCTGCTTCTTCAGAATCAGAGCAGCGCGAGGCTATAGAGGAAGAGGAAATGGAGAACGACAGAGATGCGTATAGCACAGGAGATCAAGAATACTGCCGTCAGTCCAAGAAACCGATGCAAGCGAAGCAAGCCCTACTTCACCTCGTATCCACTGAAATCGTACTGAACACGAGATTGCACGGACAACTGTACTGTCTGCATACAACGTTCGACTCCTGGAATCCATTGTTGCCACATCAAACCATCTCTACCGTTCTAGACTTCCTTGGCGTATCGAACAGATGGCAGAAGTTCTTTGCGCGTTACCTGCAGGCACCACTGAAGTTCGTGGACGATCAATCATCCGAGCCTCGCTTGCGCCGCCGAGGAATGCCAGGCTCCCATGCCCTGAGTGATACGTTGGGGGAGGCCGTGCTTTTCTGTTTGGATTTCGCTGTAAATCAAGCCACTGGCGGGCCAGATCTACACCGTCTCGGCGATGACATTTGGTTCTGGAACCAGGATCATGATACGTGTACTAATGCCTGGGAAAGTATTGTCAAGTTTGTTAATTTGACGGGAGTCAAGGTTAGTTGTTGAGCAAAAAGTCACTACGATGAACTAGCTAACAGTAACTTCAGCTGGACGAGAAGAAAACGGGCAGTGTTCGCGTCTCGCACGACTCCGATGCTGAGACTGACGATCGCCTGCCGAAGGGCGACATTCGATGGGGCTTCTTGCAGCTTGACCCAAAGAGTGGAAGATTCAAGATCGACCAAAAGATGGTCGATGGGCATGTGGAAGAGCTGCGCACGCAGCTAAAAGGCAAGATGAAGAGTGTTATCGACTATATACAGACCTGGGTAAGTGGTCCAAGTCCATCAGTTCCACGCCAGAACAGCTGATCAGATGAAACAGAACTCCTACGCAGCTACCTTCTTCAGTTCCAACTTCGGGATGGCGGCCAATTGTTTCGGACGCGAGCACGTTGACATGATGCTCGCCACACATCGCCACATTCAAAACAGCATTTTCCCCGATGGCAACATTGTGCAACATCTAAAGACAACGATCAAAGAGCGCTTCTCTGTCGAAGACGTCCCAGATGGGTTTCTCTTCTTCCCCGTCGAGCTTGGAGGTCTGGACCTGAAATCTCCATTCGTTGGCCTATTGCAAATTCGGGAATCGGTCAAGGAGAACCCATACGACCTGCTGGATGAGTACGAAAACACCTTGCGTAGTGACTATAACACTGTTAGGCGCGCGTTCGATAAGGGCGTTCGTCGTCACACGCGTCGCAATGTCGAGGATGCGAACTGGAAGCCCGAAGACCCTGACACATTCTTTTCGTTTGAGGAATTTGCCAGATATACCGAGGGATTCGAATGTACCGGTAGGGCGAGCTTGTTAGACGTTTACAAGGAGTTACTTGAGCGACCACAAGAAAAGTCCATAAATGCAAGCGAGCCAGTGCTACAGGCTCAGCAGCAACTCCAGGGTCAAAATACCTTGCGCGGCATCACCGCCCAATGGAGTTCGATGGAAGCCTACTGGAAGTGGATCACACAAATGTACGGCCCGGAGATGATTGACAAGTTCGGTGGTCTCAATATAGTAGACTTCGGGCTGTTGCCGATTGGTATGGTATCTATGTTTCGGCAGAGGCGTACAAAGTGGCAGGGTTAAGCACAGTCAGAGCCTTGGAGCTGTTCATGACTCTCGTATGTTTGTAATGTAGTCTTGTGCGTTAGGCGCACTAGTCAGTCGACAATGGATGCGTCAGGTCGATCTTGTGCAAGGCTTGTGTCTGGCTATGTTACCGCGTCTTAGCGCCTTCCCCCGCATTCCTCTTGAACGACCTCAACACTGGCTCTCCATCGTCTCTGACCTGCACAGCGTTACTCTAGCCATACACTACGTGTCAAGTAAGTGATATGGTTTGCGAAATATTCATGGTTTAAGCTTCCGCTGTTTGACCCGCCTGGCACCCTGCGAACGTGCTCTATGAGGCCTCCGCAGGCTATCCAGCCAGCCTTTCGTCAACGTCATAAGGCCGACTAGCAGTAGATTGCATCTCATCGCCATAGGATGTAATAGTGATTTGGTATTTGACTACTCATTGTAATGCTTACTTGAACGACAGAGACCTCTTGTTGTCTTGGATGCATCTGCCTAAGCGAACACTCCATTGCCGGAGCCACCTGCGACATGCATTGAATCAATAGGACAACTTTGGAACTTCTAAAGTATCCACGAGAATACGAAACGAAACTCTCAACCACACAGCAATGCTGGATGTGCACAGTACGGAGATCTGCCTCGACTCTTGCCCAGCGTGACGACGCAAGCCCACGACGCCTCACGTATCCCCAGGTCCCCAACAATGCCCAAGCAGTGTCAGTAGCAGCCACGCGACCGTTCCCTATCCACTGGTGGAGCACTACGAGTTTTCTAGGCTGGGGCTATCGCGCGACGACCCGACAGGCGGCCACATTGTATCGGCAGCAACCTGGATGGTGATCATGCAAGCTGTCAACAAAGAGCCAACCAGCCACCGGGAGCATTCCGACGGCTTCAACGATGCGCATCACTGAGCAATAATATGGGGTTGGGGAATTGTTAGTCGACGCTAGCAAATGACGTTATCGGCAGGCGCTCTCGGCACCACCTCAAGACAAGGAAAGTGCCATGATGCACGAAGGAATTAGCGAGCCATCTCATCCTCAACGAGCCAAATTCCCCACGCTTTGCATCACTCAACGAGAACAGTTGGTTCGACTTATGGGGAGCGCAATTTGATAAATAAGACGTTTGGTACCCGTCACTCGCAAGCTTTGATTCTCCATCTGCCCCTCCTTTGGAAAATTCCAGACCATGTCCG